CCACCACCCCCCTACCTGCCTTTTTTGCTCCCCCACCCCCCTTCCTCTTTCTTTTCCAATCGTTTCTCTCTCTTAATTTTACCCCCACGCCGTGCCCTTGTTTTTAAACCCAGTAGGCAAGAGTTCGATCCTTCGGCGAGGGCGAGTGGGGGCTGTCCCTCCATTCGTCATTGGATGACCTTGCTGAGAAAAGTCCCGCCTTATTTTTCTAGATTGCGTCACGATTGAAAAACGTATACAATTAAACCCCACCCCCTCTCTCCGTCCCCCCAGCGTTCTTGCTGCCCCCCTCTCCTCCTTCCTAATCCTTCCCATCTCGCGGTACATTATTTGACGCAACAACCCCCCCGCGACACGGGTGCACCACCTGACAGCCATCAAAGCTTCGCGCAGCTCTAACGAAGCCCCTCCCTCCACCCCCAATTACGCGCGAAGCCACTGGTCAGTGGTCAGTTTTAAACGGTTGTTCATCTTCAACTGGCTTAGTTAAGCTTCCGACCTTCAGTGCGTTCTGTTGTGACCACCTCAGCTGTTGAGCAGGTATAACCAACATTTCTAGAAGACAGACAGGACTGTATTTACGGCGTTGGTAGAGAGAGAGAGAGGCAGGTTTAATTCATCATCATTACTCAGGTAACAACTTACGAACACTAATACATAAACTCGCGTAAAGAAAAATGTATTTAAATAAGACTAGTCCTGGGTATCACCGGTATGCGAAAATGAGAGCCCCAAAAAGATCTTTGAAAGAAGAAGTCAAAACTGAGCCCGCAGAGAAATAAAATACGTGAACTGATTTATGAGAGCGTCATTTAAAAAAATAATGAGCAGAAGATTTTCTGACAGATGAGCCAAGTAAAATATTTCTTTATCCCTTTGCAGTAGATTATAAATACACGTTAACATTTATTTTAAAAACAGAAAAAAATATACATAGATAAATGGATAGATGTTTTAATGCAACAGAATAATAATATATATTCTAGGATCTTCCTGAGCGATAGTCGTAGGAAGAAAATCAGACGACATAATGAATTGGTCCCGGATAATCATGACTGCAAAGAGGCGCTTACTAAAAGTACCTTGTATGATTATGCTTTTAAGATCAGCAGAAAATCAAGGTACAATAGAAACCGTCTAAAATGTCCAGGAGAAAAGTGTCTATTTAGACACTCTCTTCGTCATATTTATTATTATAATTGCTTTTTTATGCTTTGTTATTTGCATGGCATCTACTACATGTATTTTTCTCCCCCGCCTTTGTCTTTCTCTCTCTCTCTCTCTCTTTTTTTTCCTTTCTCTCTCTCTCTCTTTTTTCTTTCTCTCTCTCTTTCTCTCTCTCTCTTTTTTTCTTTCTCTCTCTTTCTCTCTCTCTTTGTCTCT